GGCGAGAAAAAATTGTAGAGAGAGAAAGATGCCCACTCTGAATTTTATATATATATATTTTAACTACTTTATTTTTCCCCAAAACTCTCCAAACGATATAGGAAGGTGTGTTTTCTTGTCATTTTTCATGTTTTTCAAGTTATAAAAAAAATTTATCCTAACCTACATGCAATATTATAAGTTTTCCTTTAATTCAGTTAACCCTTTTTTTTTTTTTTTTAACTTTAATTTTTTGATATTATTCTTTCATAATCAAACTGAGTCATATGGATTTAATATACTTTATACAAAAAATAAATAAATAAAATAAAAGTCTAGTTTCTACTTTAAGTATTTTCTTAAGCAGGACATGGTCAGAGGACCAAATATAACTTTAGATACCAGGGTGGGCTTGGGCTAGCAGAAAGATTGCTGAAAACGACCTGGTGAAGACAATTCCCAGCCCAAATTTTGCTCTTCAGAGTTCATCCAAGCCCCCCCAGTAACAATTATAATTGAAATTAGACTGAAAAATCCAGCTCGAATACTTCACCTATTTTTGAAAAGAAAAATGCTATTAAAGTATAGGGGTGGCAAATGGACGGATTGGGTTGAGAATGGACAGGTCAATATGGGTCAAGATTCATATTCAATCCATTCAGAACGGGTTGAAAATGGACAGGGTCAACCCGTTATGACCCGTAAATTCATTAATTATTATTTTTAATTAGTTTTTAGTTTTTTATTGTTTTTAATTTTTTAAATTTTAAAAAGTGTTCTAGTTGAAAATTTTGTGTCAAAATGTTGTATCCGATGTAGCTTGAACTTTTTGTTGAGTTAATTTTGGTGCTTACCATAAAAATTCCTGAATTAAAAATATATATATATGTCTATCCTGTTTAAGACAGTATTTTATTTCGAGTATAATTTTCATCAGTCCACACGTGTATAAAGCTAAAATTGATCTTTAATGATCTGACTAGCAACACGGTCAACACCCTCCATGGTTCTCAAACTACCCGCCAACAATTTATATAACTTACAAGTTGGAAGAAAATGGAAATGAAAATGGAAAAGAAAAAAGAAAAAGAAAAAAAGTTGATATAATAAATGACAATCCCATATGACAAACTCCGAAATGATTAAAAAGTACACAATATTCCACTGATTCACCTATACTTTCGATAACTGGGGCTGTACATGCAGCTCTCAGCGTATGCAACCAGATTTTCTGGTTGAGGGAGACGAAATGATTATTTGTTGAGTGCAATATAAAATAGATGTGTGTTGTGTGTTTATTATGTGATGGGTGAAATATGGGTTGAATATGGTTAACTATATTCAACCCATCTTGACCCTCAAATTAAATATGGTTCATCCATAATCATTAAAAAGCGGGCGAATATGGGCGGGTTGATAGTTCCTGACCCATTTTGTCACCCCTGAAAAGCACATGAGTTAAAAGAGAATTTCTTGACCGAAAACTATTGATCGCTCATGTATGCAAGATACAAGGAACTAAGGAAGTGTTCGGTCAAGGAATTATAGCTTAATTAGCACTACTCGTTTGAAAAATTCCGATAGCATTGAGTAAAAGAAACCATTTCCAGTTGGGCTTGGGAAAAAAATGACTTGAAGCCTCAGAGAGTGGCCCATATAAAATTCTGCGATTGGAAGCTCTGAAGATTGGCCTCATTGTGTCCAATCTTATGTTCCAAGAGCTATGCTTCCATTACAATTGATAAAAAGGAGAATATAAATTGGTGAGTGCTTCGTTCTAAGGCTGCGTTCTAAGGCTGCGTCTGCTTCAGATTCGTTTAGTAAACAAGTCAAGTTCTTAATAGATGAGTCAAGTTCAAAATGATAATTATTCAATTGAGTTTAGCTTAACAGTGTTACGGACTCAATTTTTTTAGACTCATTAATAACTTAATAGGTTTATTTTCTTTATTTCTGTTCCTTTTTCTCCATTTTTCTGGTTTCATAACCATTAATTGATATAGAATATTTAAAATATAATAGAAAAAGCAAAACAATAAAATATTACAAAAAATAAAATAAAATATTAAGTGTCAGAGCTCACTTGTGGTGTTGAGGAAACTTATGAATAACTTGAGTTGAGCGGACCACTATTTTTTGAGCTTGTTACAAAGTCCAAGTCGAACCGATTGTAGCCCGAATGTCAATGTGGTTAGTCTGAGGAAGACTTCTCTTCTTCTCTTTTCATTTATACATGTAATTACCATATGTGTTTCCCGAGTAAATGATAGGGACAGTAGAATAAATTGAACTAATTTTATTTGAGTAGAAATTGATGTCATCAATAATATTAATGACGTCGTGATAATGTCAACCTGAATTTGACTTCAAATCATTATTTATGATCAGAAAGAAGCAACCACCATGTGAACAAGGTTACTTCTTAGAGCAAGTCCAACAAGAGACAATGTTTCTCAATCCAATGATTGAGGATGTGAGGCCGCGCTACGTAAAAGAGGAGTGCTAATTGCAGTCACATAAGCGACTGTCAATTCACAGTATTGGTTAGTTTTAAATGCATTAATTACTTTGAGTTTTTATTTTTATGGGACTTTATTAATATTATTTTTTAGACAAAAATATCCTTTTAAATTATGCTTTTCTTCTTATCTCCTCTTTTAATCGATTCAAATGCGTACGTGTGTGTGTATATATAATAATAATAATAATAATAATAATAATAATAATAACTAATGTGATGTGAATGGATGCTGAAAAAGGAAAAAAAAAAAAAAAAAATTAGATAGGATAATCCATTCACAAGAAATAGATTCTGAAAAAAAAAAAAAGAAAAGAACAAGATAGATTCCGAGATTTAAAAATATATATATACAAAATTAGTTTTATATGCGTATATATATATTTTTTTGGTGAATGAATTATTTCCCTTTTTTTTTTTTTTTTTTTAAAATCCATTTATACAAGGATAGTTGTAAAAATAAAAAAATAAAACAAAAAGAAACATATATATATATATATAGGGAAAAACAAAAAAAGAAGAAGGAAGAAAAATATAATCAATTTTTTTTTGACCTTTCTTTTTATTCTTTTTGGATTTTTTTCTAGCTCTTTTTTTTTTCTTCTTCCTTTTATTTTTATTTTTTATTTTTTTATTTTTTTTCCGAATCCATCCATCTCTTGTGAATGAATTATCCTATCAATGAGGAGAGAAGAAGAAGAAAGATTAGATAATTTAAAAGGATATTTTTGTCCAAAAAATAATGTTTGTAGAGTCCCATAAAAATAAAAACTTAAACTAATTAATGCATTTAAAACTAACCAATCCTAACTGCGACTGTGACACGCGACTGCAATTAACACTTCTCTACTTAAAAAGAGTGAATGAATAGGTATCCCAATACCCGAATCAAGTAAATCCACTTACTAAGAATGGAATGGTTGAACAGCCATGCAGCTTAAAATTCAGTGAACTGTTTGTCAAGTTGTAAGTATCAAGAAAGTTGTTCTTGCGAAGAGGGTTAGGCCTGCAAATGGAAGTGAATAGCAGCTGATGAAGAATTATAGAAACCCCAGAAGAAACATGACAGTTTTTTTCGGCCTCTGATCATCAACGCAAATGTTTTTACTACTTGTATGCTTCTTTAAAATTGTTCTTTAACCATCATTTGAATCAAATGAGGACACGTCTGTTTAGCCATTCTGGTTTTGTCCACAACAAGGCCGGTCTCCAGATTGGGAACTTTTGAGATTCAACTTCTCGAGTTTCTTGCTAAAGGCTTTATGATCTCACACCGGCAGTGACAAACGACAATCTTAGTGACACAGCTGATTCAAGATAAACAAACAAACTAAATCTACAATAGACTCCTGATGTATTTAGTGTACTTACAGGCACAAAGCAATGTAAAAGGGCAAGAATGAAGTCAGAGAACTTGCATTGATGAACATAACAAATAGTTAGCAGAGGTGCTTGCACATGCTTACGCTTTTAAGACCAGTAGATTGTAAGCAACAATCTGTTGTAGGCTCTTTTTGGGTGGCAAATCTAGTGAGAGAAAGGGAAAGGAAAAATAAATGCAAATGAAGAGGAAAAGAAGGTGGATTCCCTTTTTTTTTTTTTTTTCCCTCAAGCTTAAACAAGTAGAAAATTCTTCCTTACTTCCCTTCATATTTTCTTTCTCCCCTATTATCAAAGGCAACTAAATGAAAGAAAAGGATTTCCTTTCTATTTTATGTTTGTGTGCGTGTGTTTTCACCTCACTAAATCTGACACCACACAAACACAAGCAATTCAGACACTACACTTGATGTCCAAATGACAATCAGGGCATGAAGCAAGTATTGAAAGGGTAGCAATGACCATATAAAACTAATAAACTTCCAGAATCAACTTTGTCACTCAAAATTCTCAGGTCTAAGTAATCAAAGCTTATACCCATTCGTCACAAGCGAATGAGCCGGTCTATTTTTGTGATTGGTGACAAAAAAAGAGAAGTTGCTAAATCTGCAGTATATATGGCAGTTTAGTAGCCCCCATCTCACGTCCACGGGGAAGGGATCATAACCAAAGACGCTACTCAAACCAATAAAATAAGACGACCAACACGAAAAAGGTTACCGAAAGACACATTCATATGAGTCTCACACGATGTCATCTTATAAATTTCTATTGTAACCAAAATATTGGGCACTCATATATACTTGACCAAGGAGTAACAACTAAAAGTCCAAAGTCACATGTGTTAATGAATTTGCCAAAAGTTCACCAACAAAGTACCATGAATTATGATAGCAAGAAGACATTTGATACATAGAAACACATAGTATAGACAACATTTCAAAACCAAGTATATTATTACTGTACAATAATTTAACCCTACATTAACATCAATGCATATATATGTACTTGACCAAGGAGTAACAGCTAAAAGTTCACCAACAAAAGTACCATGAATTATGCTAAGAAGAAGAAATTGGATACAAAGACCCACATAGTATAGACAACATTCCAAAACTAAGTATGTTACAATTATAGAACCTTTCATTAACATCAAAGCAATTAAATACACAACATAAATTCAAGTCATTATAAGCCCATCAAATTTTTTTTTTTTCCAAAAACAAAAACAAAAAAAGGGGAAAAATTTAGATAGGGAGGACCTTCTTGACAATCTCATCACTGAGAGCAGCAATCTGAGAGTCCAAAGCCTTCATTGTCTCCTCCTTCTGCTTCTCCAAAATACCCAAAGCCTCCTGCAACTCTATCTCCAGTTTCTTCCTCCCTTCAGCCAATTTCTCCTCCACCTCCAATTGGGTCTCCTTCTTCATCTTGTTCAGCGCCGCCGATATCTCGGCCCGCGCAGCCCTCATCACCGCCGTCGCCTGGTCCTCCAGCTGCTTCACCTCCGCCGACGTGTCCTTGACGCTGCTCAGGCTCTCCTTGATCGCCGCATCACGCTGGTCCATGAAATTCCCAAGTGGGGAGTAGTAAATCTTGTCCAGTGCAAACATGAGGATCAAGAACTCCGTCGCGATGATGGGCAGAGTGAGATCGAAGTCGAACAAGGCGGCTTTTTCGATCTCGGCGGCGAGGGAGGGAGGCGGGCAGGAGAAAGAGGCGGTGGCGAGAATGGCCGCAATGGATTTGAGGGTGGTGGAGGAGGAAATAGAGAGAGAGAGGGAATTGGGTGTGGGGAATTTGGGGAGCGGGAGTTTGGGGAGAGAGATTTGGGGTAAATGGGTTTTGGGTTTTGGGGTTGGGGGAATGGAGGACGATGAGATTAGGGTTTTGGAGGAGGCCATGATCATGTTGGCCATGACTGATTGAGTAATCAATGTATTTGCGTTTGTGTTTCTGCTTATTTTTCCTTTGGTGTGTGTGGTTTTTTCAGTTTTGTTTCTGGTTGTGAAATTTTGTGTGGGAATGAGAGTGACAAATGCTATCTCATTCTTTGCCACACAAAATGATGAGGTTGTGATAATATCTCAATACAAAAGAGAAGGGGAGTCACTTGAGTGGGCTGACTGGGGACTGTCGCATAAAGTAAAAATTGAGTGAGAAATTTGGATTAAGAGAGCCTATTGTCACGCCCTGTTTACGGAGGTTGTGCCACGCAAGTCACACGCAGACGCTAAAAAAGATGCTGCATGGCAACTGCATGACGAGTGAAATTTCTAGAGTCTTTCGGAGTTGTTTAGAGTTGTGTGAAAGATTCTAGATATGTGTAGTATATTCTAGATTTTTCTAGAATTGTGTGCAGTAGTATGGAGAGTTCTAAAATATTGTAAATACTTGTAGATAAGTATGGAAGTGTAAAGAAGGTGGGAGAAGATTCTAGAGAATCGATCTCCACCGTTAGTTAGAATGCATCTTAATCATTCATTAGGGATGTGGATGCCTATAAATAGAGGTAGGACTTCATTTTGTAGGAAACAAGTCCTAGAGTGAGTCTTGAGAGCCTTGTAGAGAGCTTGAGTGTTAACCTTGTACAAAACATTCTTTGAAGTAATAGAAGTGTTCTTTCCTTGCCAACTTAAGTGCCTTAGTGTGTGTGAGTGTGCAAGTCAAGTGAGGAGAGGGCGAGGGCAACTACAACACTAGTAAGCGCATGAGGGGAGTGTAGTGTGTGTGAGTGTGCAAGTCAAGTGAGGAGAGGGCGAGGGCAACTACAACACTAGTAAGCGCATGAGGGGAGTGTGTTGGCTAAGGTGTGCACGGGAGTTAGGCTGACCAAGTACTTGCGAGAGTGGAAGCAACGTCTTGGTGCCGCACAGGAGCAGCTAGAGTGGTGTTGAAACTCTAAACCCGTGACACTACGGAGCGTGAAAGTGATATTCGTTAATTGAGTAGGAAATTTGGATGGGGAGTGTAAAAATGGGATTAAGAGGATATACGGAGTGTGAAAGCGACACTTATTAAGTAAAATAGTACGATTTAGATTAGAACTAAACTAAAATACATTGACTAAATTCTAAATTATTACTATAAAAATTCAGTGTTCAACTTTTAGTGGTCTTGTACAAATAAACTAGATGTTAAGCTTGTCTCTAGGCAGCTACAAATATTCACACAATAGTGTTTAATTACTTCCTTTTGAACATTAAATAAGTTTGTCTAAGGTACAACCATGTCACATCATTCTTATGTAAGAAGTTCCTTCGGTTGTAAGGAGACAACTACATAAAATAATGTAGTTTGATTTGAGATAAATAATGTATATTTACTGTAATATTTATATGACATAGATTAATGAACGTAGTTTATATCATACGGTAATTTTACATAAGCTTAATCTGTATAATCAAATCCAACTTTTATAGAATCACTAGTTTGCTTTGGTTTTAATTTACTATCTAAATCGAACAAAATTAGTTTGTTTGTATTCTTAATTTGAACTATTTTAAGTCCAACCCATTATTTGTTTGCACATACAAAAAAATAAAAAACAATTCTTTAAGCCAATGGGATATGAAAAACTTACTGCTACATGGAAACCTTTTTCCCTCAAAAACTAATTTGTCAAGACACAAGATAAACAACAACAAAAATCAATAGAAATTTTTTTTAGAAGAGAATGAAAAATCGCGATATCACAATGCATATATACAGAAATCCCCTTATTTATTCTATAATTAAATATGCGCACACACGCTATGACAGCAATAATACTATACAGAGAACCAGGTAAGCATAGCAAAATTTCGATAAAAAAGAAAAACACAATACATGATGAACCCTAATTACTGAACTCGCAGCATTGAATACTGCACACATCAATTCCACAATTTGCATCCTCTGCAATAAAGAATTTGAATCACATGATCATCTATTCTTCAAGTGTGACTATTTAAGCCCTTGTGGTCTTTCGTTGTGGGTATCATATAATATAATGCATACGCCCCATCTACCACTTACTGCAATCCAATATCCAAAAGGGGTTTGGCTTTGATCCCTCCATTTACCATTAAAAAAAAAAAAAAAAATCCAAAAGGGGTCTAGCTTCATTGGTGTACAACATCTGGAATGAGCTTGGAGATTGCAAGGCAGAAGCTTCTATCCTCGTCTATCAAAGTCTCTAGGAACTCTTCTAGGATAATTGAAGAATGGGAACTGCCTCCTTCGGTCATCCGTCTGCCGGCGAAACCACCAGATCACCTTCATTGAGGAGATTGTCTCCTTGATCCAAATCTTGGAGCTCTTCATAACCAGATTTGGGGATACCACTCCCTGTAAAATTTGACCGTGACAACCAACAACCAGTGAAACTATTCCCTGTTTATTGAAATCTCAACCAAAGGAGAAACGTTTTATCTATTTAAAAAAAGTAACCAACTTTTTCTTCTTCTTTTATGTCCAAGAGCCACACATCCAGTATTGCGATCCAAAAAAATTGAAATTTTATCAAATAAACATGTCAAAATAACCAAAACTATTCCCCTGTGAGGACACTACCAATGAACTTCATATCCATTTTTTGCAATCCAAGTTCTATATATAAAATATGGCTTTACAAAAAGGTACAAGAAAAAAGAAAAAAATCTCAATTCTTAGCCCAGATCCAAAAATTGAATTCCACTTGGAACTTCATTTAAGTTCTACCAGCCATTCGGAAGCCCAGATCCACAAATTTTCTATATATTTATTCATAACATAGATAATTTTTATTCATGTCATAGTAAATGGGGAAAAATGAGATCAGAACATGAACACATAACGATAAAAACAACAACAACAACAAATCAGAGAGAATAATTATTAGTCCGTACTCACATCACATTGCAAAGCAGTTGTTAATGAAAGTGGCATCAAGGCGATAACTGGATTTAGACAGATGAGTGGCACCCAAATCAACAACCTCCCCATGCGAGTTCTGCTTCCTAGAGACAGTAAACTTTAAAACGGTAATGATGAATCCCTCTCTCCGTTGTGGGCTATATTCTCGCACAACAAGACACAACTTTGAGCCGCCTAAGTGGAGCAAATCCCCGATTGGAAAGTGACCATAATAGTCTGGTTTGGGAAGGAAGTCTTTCTCCTCCTCTAATCCCCTCACTAGTTTTGGGGGTATGTTAGGGTTCTTGACATCGAAACCCATAATTTTCCCATCATAGCAATACATTATGTCATCTAAGAAAGTGGCACATAAGCAGTAACGGGGACCAAAGTCACAAACATTCCACAATTTATCATCAAAATCGTGTGAACACAAGGACCCTAATCCGGGGACAATGCCCTACACCAAAAGCCTCTTCGTCTCTGTTACAGTAAGTTGATGCACACGAACACTAGCGAGACGCTCTGGTATATCAGAAAAAGCTGGTTGCCAGCTGCCGCTTTCCGTATCAAAAACCTCAGCGTAATCTGGAGGTAATGGATAAGAGTCCGCACGAATGCCCCCAATGACATAGATCTTGCCGTCAAGAGTGATAGCATGAGAATGGTACCTTTCCATGAGCATGGGAGGGGTTCTGGTCCAGCCAGTCTCGGGACTAAGAGTGTCTATGTAATAGACGTTGTTGGTGGCGGTGGAATGCTTACCTTTGGGGCCAATCCAGGGGTGGGTAATGCGGACTAGGTTGATAGCCGCCAATAACGTAGATGGCGGAACCCAAGGTGACACAAGCAGAGTTCTCTTTGTATTTCATATCATTGCTGTCGTCAAAAACTGGAGCCAGAAACTCTAATTCATCCAATGATTTGTGCCTGCTGCCTGTGTCCTCCAACTTCTCAATTACATACCAACGGCATAAGCCATCGATTGATGTTGCGCGAATGTATATGCGTGCATCTTCACTGCTTTCTTCTGCTTCCTTATGATTCCCGGAAGGTGGTGGTGGCATTCTGTGAAGGGCGTCGTCTGAAATCGCCATCATGGAAGATGGATTAGGGTTTTTTCCCTTTTCCCGCGCAAGAGGGTTTTCTTATTAGGGTTAGGGTTTCCTCTCACTACTTTTAAAAATAGGATTGAATAAAATTTTTATATCTATATTATTATAGAATCTGCAGAGAGTTTATAGTTTTCATGAAACTCAAATCACCTATTTATTATGAATTTTTTAAATAAGAGAAAACCTAGTTAGATAAGGAAATATATAAAGACATTAAATAATTTAATTTCTCTAATTAGACAAGCAAATATATAAAAAGTTAATAATGAATTCCTATTAAAAAGTTTCTAATATTTTTTTTCATTTTTTTAGAATACAAATTAAATTAGATTTTTCCTGTCATCATTAAATAAAAGTGTATTAAAAATATAAAATTACCTATGAATTTTGATGCCTCTTACGCTTCTCTTATCAATAGTTGACACTCGGAGTTACTTATTAAATTGGTAATTTAAAATAAATAAAAGTGTATTAAAAGTAATAGTTGATTTTGATAATTCTTACACTTCAATACGTCATATATCAATAACGGTTGCCAATAAAAGTTACTTATTAACAATTTTAACTTTTCATTTTTTTCTTCAATTTATTCAAAAATAAAAATTAATTTTTGGACAAGTACAACAAAAAGAAAGAAGGTATGCCATGACATCTTTTTGATACCTCTTACGCTTCTCTTATCAACACTCGGAGTTACTTATTAAATTGGTAATTTAAAATAAATAAAAGTGTATTAAAAGTAATAGTAGATTTTGATAATTCTTACACTTCAATACTTCATATATCAATAACGGTTGACAATAAAAGTTACTTATTAACAATTTTAACTTTTCATTTTTTTCTTCAATTTATTCAAAAATAAAAATTAATTTTTGGACAAGTACAACAAAAAGAAAGAAGGTATGCCATGACATCTTTTTGTCACTAATTTTTTCTAAATTACAAAAAAGAAAAAAAAAAAAAAAAAAAATCATGTTTATGACTTCTACTTTTTTGAAAGCATAAAATATAGGTATGCATTATATTTGTTTATATTGAGCTCTCTGCTTTTCGACATTGGAAACTAAATTCGCAACAAACTCAAAATTTTTGATGTCGTTATTTTCAGTGATTAGAAAATGGATTTGCAACATTGAACAGTATGCTTTAACATGTGATTTTTTATTTATTTTGTAAGGAAAAATCTATATAAAACTTATGTAGATCTTTATTATTTATTCAAAATTATGAGAATGTTTATATAGGAGTGGGTATGGGAGAAGAGAATTCATCAAATTCTATTGTTATTGTTAATTTTGAGAAGTGAGAAGTCATCAAATTATATTTATATATTCACATAAATACCACTGCGTGCGTATTCATGAAAATTATATTTGTGTATTAGGCGTGGTAACTGATTCTAAAGGTGATACCAACATGATTGGCAAAAGACATTGCGTGTTTAAATGGTCAATTTTCAAGAGCAATATATATTTATAGTAACTATATGGGAAAAAAATCGAAGAAATTAGGTAACAAAATACCTAAAGAAGTCAATGGCTCTCGCTTCCCCCGCTTCCCCCTCCTCACCTACCCCCCTCTCCTTTCCACCACGGCCAATCACCACTACCACCAACCACCAACTCACCACCACCACCTCTTCCACTCCTCCTACTCCTTGCCTACAGCAGCCGTCAATCCCAAGCACCAGTCACCAATCCCCGAGCTCAGTAAAACCCCTCACACCCTCACTCACTTCCATTCCCACCACCACCAACCCTGACCTTCAATTTTTTCCACCTGAGGATGTCTTACCAGATACCTTCCTTGATGACTGTAGTGTGGCTGCACAGGCTCTCCATTACAGAATCCAGCTTAATACTCTCACAAGAGAGATGCCACCTAGTGAAAAGGCTGTTGATGTGCTGCAAAGAGACAACTTATTGCTTAAAGGAAACTTGCATAGCTCCATCCTGACATGGACCAGGGAATAGAACTTCAGCGATCCATCAACCAAGCACAGGAACTAAAAGACTTAAAAGCTCAGGTAAAATTCTTATCAGGTCAAGTTCAGGTCTACAAGGATTTCAAACATCCCATTGAGCTGCAAAGGGAAATTAACAGGCTTCAAAAGGTAATATCACTCCTCCCTACATCTTCTCATGCTGCTGCCTTGGGCACTGCCCCATCATCTCTTCCACTAACCCTCTTTTCCCCGAACGCCACCACACATCTCACCTCCTCTACCACCACCACTACCACCACCACTCCAGCACAACCCCACCCAATCCCTGGCACAGTCTCCCACAAATCATGTGAATTCCCAACCTCTTCTGCAACTAGACAAAAAAACAAAGGTGTTTTTCAACCTAAAGACACTTCTTTCCATTCCTATGTTTCTGACATGCCTACGCCCACTGCTTCTATAAAGCAACCCATTAACCATGCTATTCCTAATGTCAAGGACCTGTCTGACTTTCCATCACTCATCTCATCCTTTGGGAAGGCGTCCCCTATCTCCCAGCAACCACCAAACCACTCCTACTTCTTGTCATATGTGCTACTAAGCCACACGGTCCCACACACACCCCTCCACCACCGCATGGTCCTACATGGTCTGTTGTGGTTGCTTCCAAAAGCCCAAAAATGGAGCTTGAATTTGTAAAGCCCTCATCAATGAATGGGGAAATCTTTGTTCAACCACTAGCTAATGCAAAAACTGAAGGACTCCTTGAATGCAAAGCCACTCTAATTAGTTATTTTCTCCATAAAAAACTATCCTACAATACGGTTTGCAGAATTGCTAAAAAACTCTGGTCATCTAAGGGCCTCATTGACACCATTGCAACAGACACTGGATTCTTTATTTTCAAATTTAAAAGTGAATCTGATTGCAAGCTTGTTCTTGATGAAGGGCCTTGGACCTTCTCCAACAAACCCTTCATACTTAAGCAATGGCACTTAAACATGCAGTTTGTTGCCAAACCTTATACTAGTATTCCACTTTGGGTTAAGTTCTACAACATTCCTCTTGAATACTGGAATAGTAAAGGGTTTAGTAGTGTTGCCAGTGCAATTGGCATTCCCCTCTTTGCTGATGAGATTACCAAATCCAAAAGGAGACTTTCATATGCCAGAATTTGCATTGAGGTCTCCTTATCTCAAGACCTTTTTGACTCATTTAAGCTTAGACTTGATGATGATTCTTTTATCACCATCAATGATGTATACCAATGGAAAACTCCTGCATGCACTTCATGCATGGAGTTTGGACACTCTGGGATCTAATGCCCATTTTCATGCAAAGAGACTGTCCCTAATACCAAGACTCACAAAGGGGCAAAACAGAAATGGATCCCTATATCGACCAAGACCTCTGGCTAGGACAAACCACCAACCACCTCCTTATCCTCCATACCAACCCACACAATAGTCCTAACCCACCCACCAACTATCACTCCCCCTCTGCCTAACCACCCAATGCCCTCAACACCTGTGATACCCCTCGGATCCGAGACACGGGTTGATCAAGCCCAGTCCCAAACCCGAGGGATATCATACAATTAATATTTAACGAACACAGAATACAAAGTGAAATACGAAATAATATAATAAGCTGAAAGAAACTAAAAGAAAATCCTTGTATCATAATTAATCAAATCCGATAATCCAAAACTCCATAAGTTTACAACTCGGGAATCCATCTATTGGACCCCTTATTAAAATTCTCAAACCAAAACGGAAATTATAGAAATGAAATCCAAAGCTAACATAGAGAAGATTCCTATATAATAGGAGGAATGAATATCTGTATCTGCTCTGCACGTTCAAGCTCTAACCCTGTAACTGACGAACACCTGAAAAATAAAGGAGTGGGTCAGGTCCACATGCAAGTCCTAATCTATTACAATCCAAACAGTAATCCGATACGCAGATAAATCCTAGAAAGACTCAACAATATCTAGAGTAGTCCATATATGTATATAGTACACACTATAGGACGCTCGCTAGTCCAGTAAGTCTGTCTCAACCTGAATAGAAGGCAACATGCAAATACGCACCCTAAGGTGGGCATGAGTACCTAGACCTACCAGGAAACAACACATATGTCCAATTATCCATCCTAGGCGATATACGCGCCCTAACCATGGTTATAAGACTCAAGCTCATACCACGGCACCATATAATATATATATAAAGTCCGTACTCCTCCTAATACAAAATACCATCCATCTGTGTAGTGGTCTGATATATGTATAACAAATTCATCCTGAAACCATAGTAGGTCATTCAATTCTCAATTGATATGACATAAGTAGGTGATGGACTTAACCTATATGATTAATCCATACCTTAATCCAAGTTAGGTAGAACTTAGTGTTTGAACTAGTCCATACCTAGTATGTCACCGTCCCATACCAGTACATACAATCCTCCAGTTAACGAAGTTGACAAAAACAGTAATAAATATTTATCAACCCTACTCCAGAATTAGTATAAATATAGTTTAACATGTATATAACCAACTTATGCATTCAATATAAGATTTAGAATCCCAATTACAGTCCGTTAAATTGATAAAGTAGGATTACACAATCTACCTCTCTAAACAGTACCATAACTGATGCAAAGTAAAACAAATTTTAACACCAGTTAATCCCAACAGTAAGCATGATTTATTATGCCAAGTCATGCAGAGAAATTTAAATTTCTAAAACAGTAAGCAATTACAAGTTTATGCCAGACCTTTCTCTTACAGGTTTACTTTGAACCTTAGGTTAATTCCATCCTAAATTTCTGAATGTAAGCTTGATTTTCAACCTTTTTATAAGTCTTAAACAATGCATTATATCCTCCAGTAGCATTTAAATAGTTTTAGAAAACCTAATCTCGGCCAAACAGCCCATAAAAATTAAGTTCTGTACGTTTTAAGATGGAGCAAGCTCTAAATTAATTTAGAGCCTGCTCTATTTTTCACTTAGAGCCGGCTCTAAACCACTTAGAGCCGGCTCAAAGATACTTAGAGCCGGCTCCAATTCTTTGGGAGCCGGCTCTAAGGGATTTGAGAGTCTGCTCTCTTTTCTCTTAGCAGCCGTTGTCCGTTCCAGCTTCGTCTTCTCCGATTCCGGTGATTACCAGAGCCTCTGTAATATGTTTTAATTCTTATTCTAGGTTCAATCTCAATCCTAGGTACATATTAAACCACTGATATTCAATGATAGCATGCATGGAACATAGGTTTAGAAACAACGATCACAGAACCTTAGTCTGAAACTTTAAGCAACCCACAACAGATTAATTTGGTGAAATTAAATACTGTGTTAATTACTTATTCAAGGGTTCGTTTAATGTCTTAGACTAATCCTCAAGCATAAATATATATTCACAACAAGAATTTAACACAAGGTTTAAAACAATCCACAACAAGATTTCAGTTAAAACTTTTAAGCAACACTAAAACAGATTAATTCAATGGAACTAAAAACTGATTTAAACATGCATATTAGATGAATCATAACATTCGTTTCATCTATTTTAACCTTCGATTAATCCCTGGAGTCTTAACTAGGCATGCACAGAACACGAATTAACAGGAGAGAGAGGAATAGAGACTTGCCTTTGAGAGTTTGAATTAAAAGCTTTAACTGTCGTCTCTATAAACTCCGGCAACGTCAACGTACTTGTTGTTATCAACCTCTGCCGCTCCTAGTTAAATCCAGAACTCCTCCTTGAATCCCTCCCTTAATCTCCTAAGGTTCTCTTTGTAAATTACTCAAGCTCCTTCTCTGTTTCTCTGCCCTCACAACTTTCTGTATGACTCTGTTACGTGAATAGGGTTAACAAACCCTTGGCAGACGTATGCTTATATTTATAGGTTTTACGTGAAACCCTAGATTAAATCCTAAACCAACTATATGTTGGCTCCAATCCTAGACACAATATAAAAATATAAAACCCTAATTACCAAAACAGTGAAATCACCTAAGCACGTAATTAATTAAACTTGAGAAATACATTTAAATTAATGTAACAAACCAAAAATACAGATTAAGCAATTAATTAAAGAACATGCAATTTATTTGAATTAAAATAAAGTAATCAAATAAGCAAATAATTAATTAATTAATTAAAACAAGCAAATAAATATATTAAAAATGAACATAAATAATTAAAACAAAAGTTCACCCTACCTCTACTCCAAACCATCAGGACCACTCACAAGCTCTTTTACCACTTTCTCCTCCTGAACCTAAAAATTTGAACTCAAATACAGCCCCTCCCTTATCCAGCCCTACCACTTGCACCTCTGCTCTCTCATCCTTTTCTCACTCCTCAAATAGATTTCAAGTCTTGTCGTGCCCTAACCTTGGGGATACCATTGATGAGGATGATGAAAATGTCATATCTTTTCACAATGCTCATTTACCAGATCTGGTAACAGCTTCTGAGAATCTTTATGATCCATCTATTCCCAGGCCTAACCCTAGAGATTCACGCAGGCAAAGAAATAAATTAAGAAAAGACATTAGAAGGGCTGCTAAAGCATCTGCTGCAGCATCCAAAGAGGCTTACAATAGGTTCTTTGAGGACCTACAAACACCCCCAAAATGATGTTTGCTGCTTGGAATGTTAGAGGGATGAATAATCGCTCTAGACAGACTGCAATAAGGAACTTTATCCATGAAAACCATCTTGACTTCATTGGGCTTTTGGAAACCAAAATTAGAGTGCACAATGAACCACTTGTCCGTAATATCCTTTTTCCTCACTGGAATCTCATCACCAATATTGCCAACTCCCCTCTTGGTAAGATTTGGATCCTTTAGAATCCAAATGTCTACACCTTCACCTGCACCAAGTTAAGTGATCAATTCATTCATTGCCATGTTACCCCCTTACAATCCAACCTCAGCCCTTTTTTCGTTACATTCATCTATGGTGCTAACACACCTGAAGAGAGGAAGCACCTCTGGGAGGCCATCACTGAGCTCTCCACTGACATCTCTTTCAACCTTTGGATTCTCCTAGGTGACTTTAACGCCATTAGATGGCCAAGGGAGGCCCATGGTGGTACTGACCAATGGACCCCTGTTCTGAATGATCTCAATAACTGCCTTTTGGATTCCTGCCTCGATGACCTTAGATACATAGGCCATTTCCATACTTGGTTAAATAAATCCCATGGTTATGCTACCATTGCGAAGAAGTTGGATAGAGTTGTAGTTAACCCTAGTTGGCTCACAACTTTCCCTACCTCTGACTATACCTTTCAACCTCCACTTTGCTCTGATCACTCCCCAATGATTATTAATTTTGGATTTCCATCTCATGTAAGGAAATGTCCTTTTAGATTCTTTAATTTTTAATGTGACCATCCTAACTTTTTGGACATAGTTGCCAGTGCTTGGATTCTTCCTATTACAGGTGTTCCTATGTACAGGGTTGTTACAAAGCTGAAAATCATCAAAGCTACATTGAAAAATCTCAACCACAGTGCCTTCAGTGATATATCTAGTAGGGTCAACCAAGCAAAGGCAAAGCTTATACAATGCTAGAATAACTTTGGCAATGATCTTAGCAATTTAGTTATGAGAAATGAAGAGAAATGTCTTATTATTACATTCTCAAGCCTGAGCAAAATTGAAGAATAACTTTTCCAACAGAAAGCAAGGGTCAACTGGCTTGCCCTTGAGGACCAAAACACAAATTTTTTCCACAAAAGCATCCAAAATAGACTTAACAAGAAGAGAATCACCAATGTCACCATGGATGATGAAAGTTCCTCTACAGATCCTGAGGACATAAAGCACTGTTTCACCACCTACTTCAGCAATCTCATTGGTAGCAACCCTCATTACTACCCAGGTATATCCTCACTCTCTTATTTCATTACAAAGTCTATTAATGAGGAATTTGTTACTAACCTCTGCTCCATACCTACTGATGATGAGATCAAAAAATGTTTTTTCTCCATTAAATCAAGTAAATCTCCAGGGCCTGATGGGTTTAACTCACACTTTTTCAAAAGGACTTGGTCTATTGTTGGAGAGGAGGTCACATGTGCCATCAAACAATTTTTTCTATTTGGAAGGATCCTTAAGCAAATCAATGCTACTTACCTTGCTCTTATCCCCAAAATCCCAAACCCTTCATCGCCATCTGATTATAGGCCCATTTCATGCTGTAATGTTCTTTATAAATGCATCTCCAAGCTCCTAGCTAACAAGTTAAAACCCATCCTTCCATCCCTCATTGATAAAGCGCAAAATGCTTTTATCAAAGGGAGG